AGGTTCTTAATGGAAACGCTGATCAGAATTAAACTCGGGACCGATGACTGCCAAGTCTCTTTACTTCAGAGCAGATAAAGTATCAGACTGTCTCCTGATACTTAGGGCTGATATTCTGCAGTCCTTCATATTTTATTAATTGCGAAATAGGGAATATATACATAATGGAGTGTTACATGCATTTCCCAGTATTCCCATCGAGTCTTGGAGACCCTTCGTTTCGCCTCAGAGCATAGAAGATAACTTCCCAGTGACACGCCATCCTACCGGATCCTTCTCAGAGCAACCAAACTGCTGAAACCGCAGCCTGGACCATTACGCACCCAGGAGGCAGGGCAAGAGAAGGCTTACCGAGAAGTCCGAGCCCCCCAAATACAACATTTTTGTTGGCTTGCAAGTCAGCTGCACTGCTTTCAATTCAAAGAATTTTAACTTTCCTCCAGCCGACGTCTGTCTGTCCAAGTAACTCTTGGTTTGCCAAGACATTGTCATTTTTAATGGGGGACTACGTATTGCTACACAGGGATGCCTACAATAGAATACACACTATCTAGTTATATACAGCCACATATCTTTATAAATGTGTAAGATTTCTATAATTAGATAAAGATATAAGTATTTATATTAAAAGAACACTTTGATTATGCTTACTGATAGTACAACCTATTCCTATCTGCTTCGGATGAGCAAGTTCTCAGTATTTCATGTTATCCCAGGGGAAAAAAAAGGATTTATCTCTCCAGACCTTCAATGTTTCTCAACCTCTTCCATCTCCACATTCCATCCATCATGCAAAGCTCATTCTTGGGATTAGTGCTGGGCTTCCATGATTCATAAGCCTTCATGGTAAAAGGGAGGTCAGAGTCCTCAGTGATCCGTAACCCTAGCCGTGCATTGGTTTCTACAAACAGAGATCCCTACTCTTCCGTAGGTCAGGAACCTTCCTGTGGCCCAAAGGGATTACAGGGCACGTAATGGTCCTAAGGTTACAAGTCTGATGGTCAGCAGAAAACTGGGAGCCTAGAAGAGGAAGGAGTTTTCTGCTGTCTACGTAATGCCCAAAACATTTATGGTGTATTATGTTTAGATTCCTTCTTATCAGTCAGTCTTACTCCTCAAATTCCTTTGCTAAATTAAGTATCGCTCCAGCAAATACGGCGACACTGCATTACACCCACTGTAGAATGGGGTCAGCTACCCCAACAGATGTTCATCCAAGCGTACAGCCTTTTCGCCTCACCAGCTCAAAGGAATACTCCTCCTTTTGGTCATAATCTTTCAAAACTTCTTAAAGAATTCTGTGAAACTGTTCACATGCTGACTATGCTTCAAAAATTTACTTTAAAAGGACCCTTCATGATAATAGAACTTAACAAATGATCTAAATAAGCGAGACCACATGTGACCACAGCAAATGAATCTTATCCTCTCTACCTCATCTCAACCCGCTGTCACACACTCACATGCAGAAAACTTGACCTGCTTCTTAGATTTTCTCAGTACGTTACGCGACCTGTGTTGTTCTGTAAGTCAAGACCTTAAACCGTGTGACCAAACTGGTCTACAAGGTCATAGACGCAGTGAAAAATAATTCAGGCTATCAAGCACGCGGATACAAGAGCCAACTCAGCCAGTGCTTGGCCAGCCGGCTGCTGGGCGCGAGCCCAGTATCCTTGTGCGTTCTTAACCCCCTTTTCCTCGGGGGAAGAACTTGAAGGCTTGACGTCCAAGCCGCTATTTTTTAATGTTCTTCTATGTAAATTACGATAGCATAGACAAGAGAAACACGGTTATTTTTCATGTCTCTCATGGATGAGTTAAAAAGTAGTCTTTCAGTTTAGCTGCGTTCCGTACCCCATTCAGGTCAGTCTCTATCTTAAGGGTTGTCCAGCATGGCTGACGGATGCGCACATACAAATATCTTCTTACTTTGCCTCTGTAAGACAGTTTTCACATCAACACTTGTTTAAAGCTGAGTATCCTGAGTTAGTCTGCTTAAATTATTTAGTTAGTTGAGACACGCCTGTTACTTGCAAGGAGAAAACAACAAGAAAGTACCATCTCACGCGATACGGTTGGTCTGGAGGACAACTTACGTTCACTCGCATCCTTTGGGAGGGGAAAAAAAACCCCAAACCCCAAAGGCAAACGTGCCTGCAGCCTTTCTACAATTTATCAGCAGGTCAAGAACTTCTTGAGGATCCGCAGGCCACCGCCCTGCTCAAACCAGCACAAAGCAACAAGTGGGATGAGTCTCCCAAACCCACAGATGACGGCATTTTCAATCCAGCTGCGGGAGCGGAGGCGGGAACTGCAGTGGTTTTAATTCTCAGCTCCCAAAATTCGGCTCAGCTGCAACCCCCTTCCCCACACCCATAAATAAAGCCCAAAAAAAAGAGAAAAGAGGAAAAAAAGAGAAAGCAAAGAGCGGGAAGTGGAAGGGCTCAGAAAGAGAGGCTCAACAGCCGCTACGCCACGGCACCAAGGGGGGGAAAAAAGAGCTAATTCTACCTCTTTCAACATGTCGCCTCCAACCTCCTTGCCCATGCTTGTTCGCTAGCATAGGACAGCTACCAAAAGCAGGGTCTTTACTAAGACAAGCCTAAGAGGGACTGCCTGGGGAGCTACGGGGAATTTGGAGCAGACCAAGTCTCTTTGCCTTGAGTCTCAGCTTCCCCTTGGCAAGGCGAGGCGGAGCTCCCTAATGAGCCAGGGCTCCCTAACGAGCTGGGTTTACACAAGCCCCTGTTTTTCACAGATCAGCAGGGTAACATTTGGAACACCTTAAGCATGGTACATGGATTGGGAGGCACGGAGCATCCAGGTGATCCTTCAGCGGACGAGGAGGCCTTCAGCCTTCAACGAACGCATTTGGGAATTCAAGAAATAAGGGTGCTTCTCCTGGATTAGAGGTTTCTGAGTCCTGGTGTTTTAATTAAGGCACTAAGAAAGCATTAAAAGTAGTTACCACGAGCATTTCTCTCCAGCTGGAAGGGGTAACAACACCCGCTGAATCTGCCTTGATAATACTCTGCCCAAACCTACCAAGCCCTCACCATTCCCTCCCTTATTTCTCAGTCACGCGAGGCAGTTCTTCCTCTCTGCTGCTCCTTTTCCCCCCCGCAAAGTAGAACAACACGAAAAAAACATTTTAAGGGTTTTAGACCGGCAGATGAAGAAAATAAAAACGATGTATAAGCAAATTTCTATTTTCCTACGAAAGGTTCCAAACCCAAAGCAGGCAGATTTGCAGAACCCTTTCCGCCTGAGGAGCGGGGCTCCTCAGGACGCGCCTTTAACCATTAGGATGTATTTACACACAAACTGCTCCCTGTTTAACAAAGGATTAAAATAGTTTGCGTTGCTGTTAAGTCCTCGCTTTGCTTTTGTTCTTTTTTGTGTTTAGGCAACCCCTGCAGCCTCCAAGAGCCAGCGCCGGTTCCCCCGGAGCCCAGGCGTCCCGTTCCTCCGGCCGCTGCGTGAGTCATTGCCGCGCGGCACGCCGTTCCCTTGGGAAAGCGCCGGTTCCCAAACCACCGGCCACAGAAAGCTGGCTGGCTCCGTGCTGCTGGCGCGGGTCCTTGCTTCCGACTGCTCTACGGCTTTAAAGCCAACCCAAGAGGCACGAAACCCTCTCCTGACACACGTTTCCCTTGTACACCGTTAATTCAGTTGCCGCAGGGCAACCTGTGCATTGGTGAGGTCCCAAAGTAACTTAGAATCATAGAATGTTTTGGGTTGGAAGGGACCCCTGGAAGTCACCTAGTCCAACCCCCAACTTCTAAGGCACAGTCTGCGTAAAGGAGAAAAAAAAAACAAAACCCAAACCAACCAAAAAAACCATGTCTAGATAACGCGTCAGCTGTCCATGGGAATCTCCCTGGTCCGGCAAGTCTGGGAACTAGGCTGAGACCAGGAATCACCTCCAGCTCTACCATCTGGAGCTGCAAGACACCAGGCCGGTCGCTTGTTTCATTGAACCCTGCGTTTATTTCCCCAGCAATATTGACATTACCTTGTTCCTGTTTATGTTTGAGGAAAGGAGAAAATAAACTATGTAACTTTTTTCCTCTCTTTTTGTTTTGGTTTTTTAAGAGGTCCCTGCTGCTGTCAAAGTGAGTTAAGCTGAACAGAAACAAGGCGGGTTTGTTCCAGGGTAAACGTACCCACGCTTGGAGTTATTTGGGAACCGTTCCTACAGCTCAAATGCATTACCACCCCCCCACCCCCCTTAATCCTTATTAACCTTTGCATGTAAGGCCCCCAGGTTGGATAATTAGTTAATTAAGAGAGCACAACATAACACAATTTCGCAGAGAGGGCGAAGCGCACGACACCGACCCGCTGCTTCTACCATTTTGGCGAGGCACCTATTTTTAGCAGCTTTTACAGAAAGTTTCTGATCTTCTGCAAAGCGGCCATCGCATCGCGACCGGAGCGAGACGGCAGCTCAGAGGATCCCGAAAGAGCGTTGGGATTCCCGGCACGCATCCACACGCGACGTGCTGGGGAACGGCCTCATAAATTCAACCTGACCCTTGGAGAGAACTCGCATTAAGCCAAGGGTTCAGCGAGACCCAACGCGCCGGCTGCAAGGGATGTATCGGAGGACACGCAACGCTTTCGGTGCCCCAACCCCAACTCCTCCTCCAAGTCGCTCCAAAACCCCGCAGGAAAACCTAAGCTGAGCGCTTCCCAGGGGTAGCGGCGTTATTTGACGACGGGCACGTATGCTTGCAACGCGGTAAACGTAAACGTGCTATAGCGCTCCGCAGGGCTGAGCCCTTATTGGTCACCAGAGCGCGAGTTTTTATTTCGCCATTTCAAACGTATTCGAAAGTTTGTTCTCTCAGATGTTTTTAAGCAAGTGGGAAAGGCAGCTCGCCGCCTCCGGGATAAGACGGGGGTGTAGGAACCTCGCCTAAGTTCCACCCGCGCTCTTTTCAAGAGGGACAGCATTTAAGCCGTGTTTAAGGCGAAAGACGAAGTAGCGAACTTACTTCCCCGTGATAAATTGGCTTCTGGACGGCGTGCACATAGGCTGGACGTAATAGTTCTCCAGTTTAACCCCTTCGGCAGCTAGCTTGTCCAGGGTGGGCGTCCTGATCTCCGACCCGTGGTACCCTACGTCTCGGAAGCCCTGATCGTCGGCCAGGATGAAGATGATGTGAGGCTGAGAGCTGGGGGCACCGGCCCCCAATCTGAATGTGCTGCGGTTGCAAAATACAGCTTTGCCCCAGCCCGGAGAGACACCGAAGCAAGCAGACACTTACGTTCGCGCGTGGTTAGGCTAAAACGAAGCCAATGTGCCGGTTGGACTTGTCTAACCTGAGTCATCGGGACGGGAACAACTTTTCCTCAAACTAGATTTTATAAAAGCATTTAACTCTTGAGCGGCCGCTTGGATGAAATCCCACAGTCACCCGCATCTCAGAAGGCTCCGGCGGGGATGCTTCCCTCTCTCCTTCCGTAAGAGAATCCGTAGGATGGATTCTTGTACTGAAAGTCCAGCATACTCCTTTAAAAAGTTGGCTCTGCTCCCCACGGCTCTGCAGAAAACCTCCCCAAACAGCCTCCTGTCGCACCCGAGGATATTTTTGGATGGGGAGGGAGCGGGGGGAACCGCTTCCCTGATGGAGCGCATCTCCCCTCTTGCACAGCGCGGCGTCCACCTGCACGCCACGGGAAAAATCACATCAGCTGGAGTAGCTCTTCTAATGAAAAGTTCCCAACATCAGCGTTATCGTATCGGGACAGAAGGAGCGGCGCGACAGTCAATTTAATGGTTCCTTGAGTGAATATTTTTCGCCCAGGTGCGCCTTCCCATGGACACGGCGAAGACATTTCCATGGTAGGGCAGATGGGAGAAGCCGCTTCCTAACCGGTAGCCGTAGCGTACGTCCTAAACATCGAATGCTGGCCCACGCGCTTTAATTGCCTTCATCAACGTTGTCTAACGCAAGAGTCTGGATTTTGCCTGCCCGAATATAATGCAGTTCGTAACAGCACTTGGGGTCCTTGTCCTGGAGAGACAAAAATAAAGTAATGCTGTCTTGAGGGAACTTTAATTTGGGTCAAATCTAACCAATTTTGTGCAACTTAACGTGTATGGAAATGCCCCCCGCTCTACAATTTCCACTGAGAAAGGGCTATTCAGAAATAACTAAGCCTTGTGCTGCAGTTTACGATGCCGCAGCAGGGAGGACGTGGAAGAAAAAGTGGATTTAGTGATTTTTAATGTGCTACCTAAGGGCTTGTCCACGCCGGAACGTGATAGTGATAAAATTACATCCGCATCGTAAAGCCTACAAAGTTTTAAATCCTGAGGTAGAACAGGTTCTTCTGAAATCAGAGGGACTTCACAGCACGTTAACTCAAGCCCTTTTCCAAAAAAAAAAAAACCCAAAACCTTGAACTGAAGAAACCCTGAAATTTTCATATGCTGAAATGACATTCCCTTTAAAAGAATTCTCTGTCGAAAGTTTTTGCTCCTGCTTTTTTCCCCGCGTTTACAAGACCAAAATAGAGAAACCTAAACCTATAAATGGTAGAACACAAATGAGACGATTAACACTAGTTCGCCTTTAAGCCAACTCCTACCAAACGGCACGCAAAATACGATGTCCTTTTAACGTACGCTGTAATAGCACCACGGGCCCAGACAAACATTAGAGCCTCACGCTAAATACCGGCTCAATTGCGTGCCTGTTTTTGAGTCGTTAAATGTATTTTCCATTAATTCTTTTGTTTGTTTTAAAAGCACCAAACACCAGCTATCACAGTACACTTCTTCTATAACCCACGCGTTAACGATAGCTGCATGGAGTTATCATCACAGAATCACAGAATCGTTTGGGTTGGAAAAGCCCTTTAAGATCATCAAGCCCAACCGCTCCCCTACCCCTGCCATCCCACCCCCAAACCCTGGCCCTCAGCACCGCATCTGCCCGGCTTTTAAATCCCCCCAGGGATGAGGACTTGACCCCTTCCCTGGGCAGCCCCTTCCAGTGCCTGACATCCCTTTGGGGAAGGAATTGTTCCCAGGGGTCAACCTCACCCTGCCCTGGTGCAACCTGAGGCTGTTTCATCTCATCCTATTGCTTGCTACTTGGGAGAAGAGACTGACACCCACCTGGCTCCCCCCTCCTGTCCCTAAGCAGTATCGGTAACTAGCCGCATACCATTTTTGCTTATACAATCCAAATATTTCCAACACATCCAAAATATTCCCATTGGCAGGAGGCTGGCTGAAGGGGGATCATTCCCGAGAAGGTGACCAATGTCAGTGAGCAGAGCTACAGAATCATCTAAAAGGAGTTTGGAATTAAGATGGTTTGAAGGGGGGTGGGGTGGGAATCATTACACAGATGCAATAGAATTTACCTCCCTGAAGGTGCCTGGGCTTGATGATCTTAAGGGTCTTTTCCAACCTGAATGATTCTCTGATGCTGTGACTCTAAGAGCAGAGCTATCAGCAGAAAGCAGGAGGGCACAGCCGTTGATTTTCCAGGGCTGCCTTATGGCCGTGCCCCAACAGCCCTACCAAACCCTCTTAGCCACCGCCTCGCAAAACACTCGAGGGCAACCTCTGTCAGGCATCCATAAACTCGGCCTTCTTTCTTTCTGGGCCTGACAAAACTTCCCTTTTTTTGGTTTGGTTTTTTTTCCCCTCCATTATTGTAAAAACAAAAGTAGGCTTATGTCAGCAAACTACTCTGCTGACCTTCAAGTAGAGAGGCCTTGGAAGGTAACGTGCTCTTAATATTCCCCTTAAGAAAATACTGATGGACATTCAGGAGTCGCAAGCATGGTTTGCAGAGCCCCCTCAGGATGCTCAGCGAAAGGAACGGGAGGGTTGTGCAAGCTGAAGTGTTTTTCCCTTAGGGAACAAAACCCCAGAGTATTTAACCTCGAGTCCGGTGAATACATTAATTCAAATATACAGGAGTTAAAATTGAATTTATTATGCGATTAGGAAATGATATATTTTGATGTACCTGTTATGCAGTCTCTGTGTGTGTTGCGACCATAAAATTAACTCAATGAAGCACGTGTGGAGAGGATGCCTTCAGCCGAAGGCTCACTTGCGGTTCCCCTCAGTCAGGGTAGGGGCTGGGAAACAGGCCCTCTTCCAGTTGTCATCCAGACGTCTCACCTTCCCGCTCCCGAGACGAACCCAACTGACACGCACATCTAGCCCCGAGAAGACAGCAGCTTCCTGGGAGTTGGACTAGATGACCTCTAGGAGTCCCTTCCAACCCAACCATTCTATGATTCTACGATTCTGAAGTTAAGCGCAGCTGAAAAATTAAAGGAGACCGTTCCTTGGAAGCCAACGACAACGGAGAGCAAAGAGTTGGTACTAGCGGGGAGAGCAGAGAATTAACTTGAATCCTTGGTTGAAGGAGATTCTGTCCGGAGCCTGGGCTCTGAGGGATGGCCCCGGGAGAGGGGACTCCCAGGGGTGTCACAGCTCCTGTTCCCTCCACGCTACCGAGCCGCTTGCTGCTGGACTGGCTCAGGTTCAGGGAACAGGGAATTGAAAGGGGGTTTTGGGGGGGGAAAAAAAACCCCAAACAAATCTGTTTTAAAATGACACACGCCTTGGAGGATACAGGTAAAAATCTTTTCCAAAAAGGAAGATAGCAGCCGTTATATTTTTTTTGTATCAGGAATAGTGTGGCCAGCAGGAGGGCAGTGATGGTGCCCCTGTTCTGGGCACTGGGGGGGCCGCCCCTTGAATGCTGGGGTCAGGGTTGGGCCCCTCCCTCCCCGAAGGACCTGGGGGGGCTGGAGCGTGTCCAGAGAAGGGCACCGGAGCTGGGGAGGGGTCTGGAGCCCAAGGCTGCTGGGGAGCATCTGGGGGAGCTGGGGGTGTTCAGCCTGGAGAAGAGGAGGCTGAGGGGAGCCC